TTGTTCGTTTTGTTTGTTTATTGCTATGGACTAATCCACATTACCTCTTATCCACCACACTTAAGTGTCGTACCAAACTATTCCACGAGATCGGTTAGTACGGTATCTAACTTGTGCTTTGGTTGCTGCTAACGTTAGAACTAGTAGCATCTAAGAACACTGAGAGTGGATTAGGTAGATCCATTAGCACGTGTCTAGGTCGTCGATATTGGCTAGCTGTTGCGTGGCCCGGGTAGGTTTATAGTTGGCGGTCATGATAAGGGGTGTCCTTTGGCATCACCGTAGTGCAGTATCTTTCCTATGCTGACTTCATAAACATATGGATAGGCTATCAATGCGTTTATACAATAAAATTGAACTTTATGGATTTGTTGTTGGCCCTTAAGTAAAGGTTTCTAGTTTAGTATTTAGAATATTTATATAAAATATTTTGCATGATAGTATTTAGTTTTTTAGTATTTGGGAATAATCACAGTGAGTTGTACCGGTTTTGACGGAATAGAACATCCCAAGCTATGTTTTCTTCTGTGACAAGGGTGCCGGTAACGGATAATATAAACGAAATAAAGACAATAAATGTTGTGCCTGAATACCAAAGATCATAAATCCCTCTGTCTCCAATCAGGAATCGGACTCGGGTTCCGCACACAAGTCATTCACTTCACTTCACTCTAAGCTTACGACGTGATCAAACCTTAGTAATGGTATTTCAAATTGGAAGCCAATTTCTTCTTTTGTTAGGGTTTTATTTCGTAAAATGTTTTATGCAAGGTCAAAGCTCTGCGTAAACAAACATTTCCATTCGACACGTGACGCACGTGTTTAGAGTCATGACCAAATGCTTTCCTATGAAACGAATCGCAAAAACGTGGACGCGTGTCACAACTTTTCTGTTGAACATTTATACCAATAGAAAATAAATTATTTAAACGATATTTCAATGTAGACCCTTTTAATACTAAAAGGTAAGTTTGAACTTACAATCTAAGAATCTAATGCGCGTAGTAAATTAAAGTTATCAAGTATGGTGTGTATATTCATTAGTTCTAACTAAATCGTAATGGTTGCGTTCATTTTTAAATTGATAGAAACAATTTAATAATGTCCATTGCAATTCTGGTCAATTGATGCTACTTTTGAGTACTATTGTGATGGCCAAAAATCATTACGGAATGTTTGACTATACAATTAAAGCATTTTTTTTTCTTTTAGCTTTTTATTGTTAAAATAATTTTATTAACCTATTTATTAGTAGAAGAAAAAAAGAAAATTGATAGAAATGAAAAAAAAAAATTGATAGCTCGTATCTTATATTGAGTCCAAGACAATACAGTAGATATAACAAGGTTTGTCAGCCCGGTATCTTGAGACGGGTCGTTGAAGTAAAAGGTCAAATACTGTAGTTGCACCAATGATGATGAAATATATGCAGAACATAAAAATAATCATTATGACTGCTTGCGAGGAGTAGTGCGACCACCCGACACTGCTACTACTTCTTTATAGTACATCCGACTACTTCTTTTAAAATATTTCTTCCCCTCGGCGCAAAGAAGGTGCACTCCGAGCAGTGCCTAGGGAACAACAGTCACCGTGTGTAAAGAATGTTATCTTCTTCCTACAGATAAATCCCTTCCTGCAGAATGGATCAATAGCAATTTGCAGCTTATACCATGTCCATGGGTATTCGTAACTTAGACGGTTCTGACCAGAACTCTCACTTCGTTTCCATTGTCGGAATATTTTACTTTCAGTAGACGCTCGGGAGCTCAGTTCTAATTTTATTGGATGGACATTGGCAATGTACCTACCCCTTCGGTGTATCTTCAGCGCTATCACGTGTCTTGTAGAGCATTCAGCGGCGGGCAAGGGTTTCACTGTGTCCCTGATATTGCCGACGTCTATAAGCGGTGGGCCGTGAGCCTGTTTGGCTACAACGGCATTAAAATTAGTTATTCACACCCAAACCGGTTCAAGGCTAATCAGAGGCGCGAAACCTGGCCAATTTGTCCGCAATTGCATTGATTTTGAAACCAAGGTTCTTCGGTATCCAAAAAAAGCCCAACCTGTTCTGTATATAGACCTGTATATAGCCTGTATACAGACTATTTGTATAGACTAACTAAGCTTAGCCCGAGTCTCTTGTTAATATGTAGAAACTTGAGAAAGACTACACGGTACACACTATCTTTGGACTTACCCCGAAGCTACCAGGGCGATAAATTTGTAATTTAGAAAGAATTAAACAAGTGGATTTTTAGATCCGTTGGTACATAAAATCACAAAGCAACTTTGCCCCGTACAGGTAATTTATCTTGTTAAATATATCCTATTCTTGAATCCAGGTTATAGACTATCTTAATGCAAAATTTCACTCAAACGGTTTATTTCATAATACATATAGGTAATGCTTCCCGATTGGGCAGCCGCTTTTTACAATGTAATTTGAGACTTCGACAAACAAAGATAATGCTTCTAGAAAAATAGCGTAAATTAACGTGACGTAAGTAATCATTGTCGACTAGACATGAACAGTTAATTACTCAAATCGCAGACAACGAATGGACATTTTCAAGGCTATTAAAATTGTCAACGATATACAAAATTGACCACTTAAATGTGCATTATGAAATTTTTGTTTTGTTTTGTGGTTAGTACTTTACGTATAATAAGTTATTGCTAAATTACAAATGTGCATTTTCTTGTTAATATCTTAGGTATTTTCTACGCAAGCCCCGTATAAAATATCCTTTGCATGAAGTTCTTGTTCTTGTAACAAGTTAATAAGTTTAAGGTTAGTAAGGTAAAATTTGAGTTTAAAAATTTACTAGTGTCATCATGACATCAGTAATGTTGTCAAAAAAGAACGAAATACACTTTAAGCCTAAGCAGAGGGCGCAAAAAGAGCAAAAGCTATACCTATGCTTTTATAAATACAGTATAATTTGTCATTGTGAGTGTAGATTGAGTCAAAATACAAATCTTTTTCTTCTTAACACAGCTTGAGGTGACCTAGTTCTGGTATCTAAAACTTACATATATGTATATATTTAAATATGTACATATATACTAAACGCCTCTATATTTTAATTAGGTATAGGCGAACACAAATTATTACTAAGCGATTCCTTGACCTTAAAATTATAAATGACAATCATGTTAAAATTGTAAAAATTCATAGTTATGTAAATTTTATTCTGGATTAAAATTTCATTAAAACTAAAATCACAAATCACTGGAGTCTTCTTGTAAACACTAACATATTTAAATATAATTACAACATAAATAAATTAATAGATAATTAAGAACCACGTTCTAACAAACTTGCAATTTTCAAAATTTTTAAAATTGCTGATAAGAAGCCGGTTCGAAATTTTTGTGAAATTCTTATGACTTAAAAGAGGCTTTAGTCTGTAGTCAAATATAAAGGAAACTTAGTGAAAATCTTAAAAAATAAAGTAAATAATCGTTTTCTTGCCACCATAAAACCGATTTTATATTGTGAGAAGATTTTCAATCTGGTTATTCACGGAAAATCTCTTTGCATACATTTACATTTAAGACAGTTTTATACTAACATATCCGAGCCAATACCTTTCGAACTCAATATAATGGATCCACTCACTTCCATATTATAAGATTACTACGCTTTGACCACTATTAAATTATTTAAACAAGCATGCGTTCATTGCCATGTCTAAAACAACTTGAAAGTCTTATTTGTACAATTCTAAAATTAACATCTACTATGTCTAAATAGTAGCTATTTTAGAGTACCAGGTACTAAAATGTTTTGGTTATTTTGTGTAAGAAGACTAATAATAAATAAATAAATAAAAGGAAAAGGTACTGTCATAAGTCACAGCCATAGTACTCGATAATTGTTACAATTAAATAGCTCGAACTGTATTGTAACTGTTTCAACACATCTAATATATTCATATAAATCTTTAGATGTCTTACAGATCATTATATTTAAATCAACACCTAGCTATTTAAGTCTTAGAAGTATTTCACCTCCGCTAAACTTTTGTCTATGGATTGGCTAGTACTGAAACAATTAAAATAAACCAAAAACTTGAAAATAATTTGATCGAAAATTATAAGTTTTTTTTGTTTTATTTTAAGGCTATATGTCCTTCAAATTAATATTGAATTTAGAAATAGGTATATTCTGTCAGATTTTACTAGATCAATTTCTTCCATGATGGAGAAAATGTGATTAATTTTAAACAATCTTTCTGATGGACCAGACTCGTAATTTTATAAAAGGTTTACAATGTAAGAATGGGTGTAGAAAAAGGATTAACAAGAAAACATTTTAGTTGCTCCCAAATGTACTGTTCCTGTTCCTGTAAATGTTTCCTTTCCAAAACCCAAAATTATGAGCGCTTATTAACCGTGATTGTACCATACATCCCGAGTACAATACCTTCATCGCATAAAGGGTCGATGTTTTCCTTTGGTTTAATGTTTTTTATAAATTTTAATTTAAGCCTCGCTGGTTTCTTAGAACCATGTATCTTATAAAAACTGAAAAGTTACCATCATTCATCATCATTATCCTGGCCTTCTCCCAGTTACCTGGGGTCGGTGCAATATGTTTTCTCCTTCCATACTCTTCTATCATATACCATTTCTTTGCTCACTCCCCTCTTACCCATATCGTCTTTCACACAATCTATCCATTTCTTCTTAGGTCTACCTCTTCCTCTATACCCTTCCACATTCATAGTTACTCTCTTACCAACCTCATTTTCATTTCATCTCATCACATGTCCTTACCATCCTAAACGCGCACTCCTCAGCTTCTCTGTCACATGTGCCACTTTCAACTGAAAAGTTACCATTAACCTTTAATTACTTTCATTTGTATAAAATGTCAATCTCAGACATTCACGAAAGGTTTTCATCACGATTTGACCCTAAGTGTATGAGGGATAAAATCTTCTCACAATTTTTAGAAATCACTTATATTTCTACAAACAGATTAGCTTATGTTTAAACCATTTTTTTGTTGCCGTTTCCCCATACCATATCTATTATTAGCCATTGGCTAAAATAGTAGAACAGATTTTCAATGAAAAAATACGCTATCAAAGCTGGTATTTTAAATCCTGTGAACTGTTTCAGTCCGGGGTATATGTATTCTTCATTCATATAGCTGTTTATGCACCTGAAACAAACAACTGATTAAGTTCACAAGGGTATCACACAATTATACACCGTGCGATCGTGCGGTGCGTGCGTTGCTATCATCATCAGNCTAAAATAGTAGAACAGATTTTCAATGAAAAAATACGCTATCAAAGCTGGTATTTTAAATCCTGTGAACTGTTTCAGTCCGGGGTATATGTATTCTTCATTCATATAGCTGTTTATGCACCTGAAACAAACAACTGATTAAGTTCACAAGGGTATCACACAATTATACACCGTGCGATCGTGCGGTGCGTGCGTTGCTATCATCATCAGCCTGCGGCAGTCCAGTGCGGGACATAGGCCTCCCCCAAAGCTCACCACTGAACCCGATCTTCGGCTCTACGCATCCAGTCACTGCCAGCTGCCTTGCGCAGGTCGTCGCTCCATCTAGCAGGAGGACTTCCTACACTACGTATGCCGGTTCGCGGTCTCCACCCCAGAACACGTCTACCCCAACGGTTATCGGTTCTGCGACATATGTGACCGGCCCAATGTCACTTCAGCTTACTGACTCTGCGAGCTATATCGATCACCTTGGTTTTTGCCCGAAAGACTTCATTACCTATTCGGTCTCGCAATGACAAACCAAGCATAGCTCGCTCCATAGCTCGCTGAGTAACTTTTAGTTGGTGGACTAGTCGCACGGTCAGCGTCCACGTTTCGGCTCCGTAGGTAAGCACAGATAGGACGCACACGGTTGCTATACAAGTTGCTATTTCAAGCAGACTATGGTAGCCTTTACGTAACGTTATGATGTCTATGAAGTCTGAATACCTTTTTATGCCAGCTGGGCCATAAGCTCGTTTACGGGCCAAAACAATAAAAAAATTAAGCTTACGGTCGCCCTGTATAACGTGTATTTCTATAAAAAAAGATATTTAATCACTAGTTGTAGACAAAATATACTATACTCCTGATAACGTGGATGGGAAATAATAATGCGACCACAGTATTGGTTCAAAGTGTATATGTATAAATGTCTATAATGTATAATAATATGGATAGTTCAAAGTCATATATGTATTAGTAAAATTTTGTATGTGAAAATATTGTCTTGATAAATTGAAGTTTCATATAGTGATAATGATCAACAGTAGACAGTGGACAAGCTGAGATGATGATGATGATGATGACAGTGACAATGTTTTTGGTATTGGTTACGACTTAATTTATTCGTACCATAGTTTTTTTATTCTAGAATCGAATATATCGATTTGATTTTCGTATCCAAATATGTAATTTATTGGATATTTTCTCTTTGATAACTCCGGATTATTCTACGATAATTTGTAGTTTTTTTTACTATATACATATCATAAATACTGGTACTCGTATGCCGTTATTGTTAGAATAAAAATATATTGATTTTTTTAGGGACGAAAATTTTTTGTTCGTTTACCAAATCAATATATTTTTTTGTTTTGGGTAAAACTGTTCCCAATTGTTTTTAGTTAAACTAAAAACTAACTAAGCTCTGCTTTCTATAAATTTGATGTATTAAAAAGGTGTTTTAATTAAATGAATTATGTAACTTACACAACGGTGTAGGCTATAAGGAATGTTGAGAGTAAAGCTAAGCCTGGTACCATATTCTTCGGTCGTTCTCTTCGTACAAGTGCCAGATCCACGAGCATGATGATCAGCGACACCGTGTGCATGCAGTGCTGTGTCCAAAACGGTACAATCTCGTGAATCTTCAGAGGTGCTATTAGCTCGCGGTCTTTATTCCAGACTCGCCAGAATAGTATGTCTCCGAACTAAAAAAGTACAAAGGAATTCGAAATCAGAGACTAAATACAAACATATTCCGCAAATATTAAACAAATTCTACTTACTATTCTACTAACACATCTATACTAATATATAAATCTACATTGGTTTTTACGGATGTTCCGTTATAACTACTGAACCATGCATCCGATTGACTTGAAACTTGGTATCCATATTATAGAAAATACATGGATAGGCTAGTATTTATATGAGTTTTGGACTCCCTAATAATAATGACAATAAATAATGATGTTAATTTTAAATGCCCAGCGAAGCGGGCGAGTACGGCTAGTTCGTTCATAAAATTACATATAATACTACAAACACGTCAAGGAAACGAATGTGTACTTTTGCCTTGAGTAAGTTTGTACTAATCCAGACAAATATTTNGAAAATACATGGATAGGCTAGTATTTATATGAGTTTTGGACTCCCTAATAATAATGACAATAAATAATGATGTTAATTTTAAATGCCCAGCGAAGCGGGCGAGTACGGCTAGTTCGTTCATAAAATTACATATAATACTACAAACACGTCAAGGAAACGAATGTGTACTTTTGCCTTGAGTAAGTTTGTACTAATCCAGGCAAATATTTCATCGATAAACACAAATATAACGTTTTGAATTTTTAACAAAAGACTTCCTCGTCCTTTTTTGGGTAAAAACTTGAGCTCGCCTATTGATATTTTATGTCGATAAACAAAATGAGTTCGTAGAAAGATTATCATAGCATGACGATCCGCTCCGTCTTCGCAAGAGTGAATCAGGAGATTCTGCTGAAAGTACATTGCAGTTATTATTACAATTATATACATTTTATGTGCTATTCACATTCTTCCTAAACATTCTTTTAGAATTTTCTTGGGTTTTCGCGGGTCGTAGACATAGTTGAAATTACTTTTAGGGCTTAATCACGCTTTTTTTATATTTTTAACTAGCTGACCCGGCAGACTTCGTAGTACCTCAATCGATAAATAAAAAACCCAAACTTTTGTATAAAATAAACTTAAAACAAAAAAAAGGAATTCGTGCGACGGGGGACACATCAACGAAAAAACAGAATTGTTATTTTTATTTAATTCCGAGCATTTTCATATTTATCTACATTTTAAACGTTCTCTAGACCTCCACAAATAATTCAGGACCAAAATTAGCCAAATCGGTCCAGCCGTTCTCGAGTTTTAGCGAGACTAACGAACAGCAATTCATTTTTATACTTATATAATAATATGGCTTATGAATTTGAAATATAAAAAGTAGTTTTAATTTTGTATAAGAACCTTTATTACTAAATATCATGCCTCTTCCATCAAAAGTGATGAACCTCAGATATGCATTTGCATTAAACCTCTAATTCGGGCTTTGAAGAGCAAAATTTTTTACGACTGCCGAAATTTCAAGCTTGTACACCCTTCCTATACGCCCTCTATACCAACGACATTCCCACCCTGAAGGGTCATCATCGGGAGTAGAAGGAGGAGGACTTGGAGTTGGCATTGTTCGCAAACGACTCGGCTTACTCTGCGTCCTGCTACTGCCATTATGAGGATGCAGAGGCTTTTGGATATCCTGAATTAGTGGTTAGATCGATGAAGAGTTCCGGTCAATGTGGAGAAAGACCGCCGCACTTCTCTACGGTTTGATCCATACCAGAGTCGTTCCTAAAAAGCTGTCTCCGAGGTGTGAATGTCAAGTTTAGAACCGTAGCCCGGTACCTAGGTGAAATCAAGCGCTTGCTGTGCATGGACTCGCATATAGACTACTATTGGTATGGCTCGCGCGGCTAGTTTCATGCAGCGGTCGATTTTTGCGTCCTGGTCCCCGACTAGGACTAAGCTCGCCATTTATAAGACGTATCTTTCCTTTCGTAACATGATCGGAGCGGGTCGGTATGTCAGGAATGACGTCATCGTCTGGGATCTGGGCGTAGAATCTTTGGGAGAGTTCTTAAACAGTCTTGCATGTGACACGAACCGACGAGCCGAAAACATACCCCATGAGCATCTCCGCAACATTACCCTGCTGCATGTCAGACTGCTCGATGACAAGGATTTACCATGGGCTTGACCGTGCTCCCAAACCCTCCGAGTATTATGCAGAGCTCAACGATATGATGTGCAAACGACAGCGATGGCCTGACCGTGTAATCCACGAGTAATATCTGGTGACTGGATGTATTGAGAGCCCATACGTGTTTTTTATTTATTTAAGCCGTCTGTTGTTTTTAGTAACCCCAAAATATAAGGTAAGTTTCATGTGTCTGTTGAACTACAACAACATTTGAAATGGAAAAAAAACTCTTGAACTCATGACCTGCTATTTCTCTTAGAAATAAACACGTTAGTCAGAATATAATAATATATTACAATATAGTTTTGTTTTGAAATTTTTACAACACGATAATGTTACGTAGTTACTTACGGCAGTAGTAGGTAATAGTATACTAGTGAAACACAAGTCTCGAAATTGATTCAGGATCTTGACGTGCCTCCAGTGTGCTTCGCCTCTTAGATCTCGCCAATCACAGTAAATGCACGTCGGGAAATATACCATGGTGAAAAGCTGAAACAGTTAAACGTTTAGTTTTTGTATCACCATAGATCATAAGTAAATAACAAGAATATGTAGTTGCAACGCGAGGATCTCGATTGCGAGCTGCTGATCTTTTATTAAATATTAAATTCATTTAATTTAGTATAGTTGCTGCAACTCGCAGAGAACGAAATGGACACCTCAAACAAACTTTAAATAAAAATGTATATATATATATATATATATAAACAAAACTAACGAAAAGAGGAAACCGGCTTCACTCGAAAAAAGCAATAAAATTAAAAATATAATCAATAATAGTCTAAATCAGGGCTGTCGAGACAATGGCTCGCGGCTTGTTTTCATGCAGCCCGTGACGCATGTTTTAATCAGAAAAGTTAGTTAGTTAGTTTTTAATATAAATAGTTTGGTTAATAGAATTCTTTGTCAATACATAAAATCAATATTATATTTTTTCCTACCTAAGCTAATAGCTTTGACAGGCTGTGTCAGCGTAGCCTTAACAACTAGATGAGCTCACGGGGCTCAAACCTGACGACTAACACTAACACTAACCCTAGCAAGAGCAGTACTTCGCAGAATCTACCACAGGATCGGAAACGCGGCCCACTGAGAAGATCCAGCGAGAAACTCAGTGGGCTGTGTCTGTGGGTTAATTTACTGACCGAGCTCTTCGTCGCAAGTGACGGATTCGACGAGACCGATGACCGGGTATTTTTTTCTGCGGCCCTTTGTAGTAAATTTAATTAGCCCGCCAAGGTATGTAGTTTGGACAGCCCTGATCTAAGTCTATTACATACTTGTATAAGTATTATGTATAACTCAAATACTGCTGCCCAGGTTTTGATAAAATTGTAATGAGAGAAGCGAACGAAAAATGTATATTCATAGTAACAACAAAAATATTTTTTCAAATAACAATAATCTTAACCAAGTATCTACTATAGTTTTTGTGTGGGGATATTTATCGCATGACGTAAGTTACTTGTCAATCATTCAAGCAAACTGTGAAAACTTTTAAGAGATGGCACCATTGTCGAGAAATTTGCAGAAAATCTCTAAAAAAATATACAAGTGTTCTTTCACGGCAATCCAGACTGAAAACTTTATTGATCGCAGGACGTATTGTCAGTCTGCACGACTGGATTTCACCGCCCTGCCTATTTCTGTTGCGATTCTGGTTGATGGATCGGGGCAGCATTTATACAATACAATTTAACGTTCTTTTCATGTATCAAGGTCGGTGGCGGTATTTAAGCAAGTACTAAGCAGTAATTCCGGTAGCCGTTTAACACCAGATGGACCGTGAGCACATTCGCCTGGCTTTGTAATTAAAAAAACTAAAACAGTCGACATTGAAATTTTTGTGATCATATACATCTGCACACTATTAAAAGCACACAGAGCACTATAGACATCTGAAGTAATCGTGGCCTAAAGGATAGGAGTGGCATTTGCATTCGTATTAAACAGTGCGACTCTGCTGGTGCTCGAATCCACAGGCAGGTACCAATTTTTCTAGTAATGTTCTACTACTAACTAATGTTCACTTCATCGTCGAACTCAAACGTCGAAGGGTTCGGCGAATAAACTAACCCAAAGACACAGCCCACTGAGTTTCTCGCCGGATCTTCTCAGTGGGTCGCGTTTCCGATCCGGTGGTAGATTCTGTGAATGACTGCTCTTGATAGGGCCAGTGTCAGCAATACCTCCTGGTTTGAGCCCCTGATATGGCCTCCTAAGGCTATCAGCATAGGTAGAAAAATGTTCACGTATGACTTCCACGGTGGAGGACTAACATCGTGTAATAAATCAAACCCGCAAAGATTATAATTTGCGTAATTACTTGCGGTAGGGCGTCTTGTGAGCCCATACGGGCGGGTACCACTACTTTGCCGGTTTCTGCCGTGAAGCAGTAATCCGTTTCGGTATGAAAGGTGCGGCTGCCGCTTTACTGTAAAAAATGAGTATTAGGACTCATGTCTCAAGATGGGCGCCAGCATTGACGTGGTTGATGCTTAGGAGCACCGGTGACCAATTAACAACAGGTGGGCCGTGAGTTTGTCCACGTAACTAAGCAATAAAATAATAATGAAAAAGTCGCAGAAGTTCCAATTGATCCGTGATATCCATACATCTGCCCGCGCGCGTAAGGTATTCATATAACTTACGATTAAGTTTTCTATGCTTTGACAAAAAAACCTAACAGACTTATGTTAAGCTTGTCCGCTAAAAAATTATAGAATTATTCTATCGACAACATCTATCGAATCATTCTATTGACGTTGTAATGTGTGGAAATTTCCAAATGCGATGCGAAATTTCATAATGTGATTTTTACACCTCCGTAAATGCATAAACGGTTGAATAAAAGACGCAATTTTTAACACGTTGTCATTGTTCTGTATATGGACATCTATGCAATGGATAATATAAAGGTTATTTTCACAAACATCCAGATATCCGATTTACTTCAAATTTTGCAGACACATCAGATGACCGATTCCCATTAAATAATTCCAGTATTTTTGCCTTGCATCCTTACCGGAAGGAACTACCAGTATAATGCTTGTTGAAAATGGAACTATGGTAACTACAAATTGATAAACATAGCTACTTATTATGTATCTACCTATATATTATACGTTTAATACATATAAAGAGATATAAAACACTCAGTCAAAGGGCTAACAAATTTGTTCAGCACACGAATATTTGCCCATTGCGGAAATCGAAACTGTGAGCCTCACCCAGCAGTCAGAGGCGCAAACTCCTATGCCACCGAGTCAGTGACGGATTTAGGCTTGATGCCGCCCTGGGCCCTGTTTATCGCGCCGCCCTTAATGCTAGAATAAATTTTATAAATTTGGATCCAATATTTTTGTTTTAAACTAGTTGACCCGGCAGAATTCGTAGTGCCTCAATCGATAAATAAAAGACCTAAACTTTTGTATAAAATAAACTTAAAACAACCAAAAGTAATCCGTCCGACGGGGGGGACATCAAAGGAAAAACAAAATTGTTATTTTTATTTAATTCCGAGCATTTTCATATTTATCTACCTTTTAAACCTTTTCTGGAGTTCCACAAATAATTCAAGACCAAAATTAGCCAAATCGGTCTAGCCGTTCTCGAGTTTTAGCGAGACGAACGAACAGCAATTCATTTTTATATATAGAGAGATTACCTTTTAAACCTTCTCTGGACTTTCACAAATAATTCAAGACCAAAATTAGCCAAATCGGTCCAACCGTTCTCGAGTTTTAGCGAGACTAACGAACAGCAATTCATTTTTATATATATAGATTTAAAATAGCCTTATAATTTTTTTAGGCATAGGCATTCTCTGACAGTCTACCTTCGGGGAGTACAGAGATGAGCTTTGGAAGGTGTTTTTTTTTTTTATTGCTTAGATGGGTGGACGAGCTCAGAATCAGAAATAGGCAGGGTGGTGGTACCCACCCGCGCGGACTCACAGGAGGTCCTGCCACCAGTAATTACGCAAATTATAATTTTGCGGGTTTCATTTTTATTACACGATGTTATTCCTTCACCGAGGAAATCAATCGTGAACATTTGTGAGTACGTATTTTATTAGAAAAATTGGTACCCGCCTGAGATTCGAACACCGGTGCATCGCTCAACACGAATGCACCGGACGTCTTATCCGTTAGGCCACGACGACTTTTGGGTGTAGGTGTAGTGTTCTAGTGATATTAGGTACTTAAACATATGTATATAACATACATAATATTTATAGATACAAATACTCGTACTTCAATAAATATATATACACAAATATATACATAATATAAAATATATATAAATCAATTGATAAATTAATTAGAAAACAATTAGATTTAAAAAAAATATTATTGCTTAGATGGGTGGACGAGCTCACAGCCCACCTGGTGTTAAGTGATTACTGGAGCCCATAGACATCAACAACGTAAATGCGCCACCCACCTCGAGATATAAGTTCTAAGATCTCAAGTATAGTTACAGCGGCTGCCCCACCCTTCAAACCGAAACGCATTACTGTTTCACGACAGAAATAGGCAGGGTGGCGGTACCCACCCGCGCGGACTCACAAAAAATTTGCCAGCCCTCAAATCATGCTCGCCCGAGGCCCGAGACTCACGCGCCTAATGGTAAATCCATCACTGCATCGAGTAGTCGCTGGAGCTAAGTTCATCACTTTTTATTGTTTTAGGCGGAACTTTGGATACATTGCTCGAGAGGAGGGTCACAATCTTGAGCAGCTGAGGGTGTCGGGCGAGATAGAGGGCAAGCATCCCAGAGGACGCAGTCCCACGAGATGGTCGGACCAGATTCGGTCTTGTCTGGACATCAAACTCCACGATGCCCCCCACGAGACCAAGGATCGCAGCAAATCGAGTGTCATCGTACAAAAGAGATTGATGCAGCGAGGAAGTCACGATCCTCAATAATGAGGAGAATGATACATGGAGGAGGAGGTGGGGACAAGCTTATGGCTTAACTGGTTTTGAATTATTATCGCTGTCCATAAATCATCAGTTATATATATACCATTTCCTTCAAATGAGGTTTCAGGATAAAGCTATACACCCCGAGATCTTCACTCTACGTAGCGGCCTGATTGTAACCGTGGTATTGTTTTTTGTAATCAGACACTACCAAAAATAACCAGCCCCCACCGTTCGCGATTAGCAACGTCATCAACTCCCAAAATTCGTCCGAATTTTAGTTAGTCTACGTATTTCTGTATTCAGCTTTAATTTTATCCGTTTTATCCGTAAACAAATATTTTGCTTTTCAAAAGCATTGCCTCTAGGGATGTTGTATTTGAATATATTTATGCTTCAGTATCTCGTTATTTTAAATACAAAATTATGTTTTATAAACCAGGGGAATTATACTTTGAATCGAGACAGTTAGAATTTTTTTTCCTACTTATTCTAGTAACCTCGAGGGGTTATACAAGATCTTCCGAACGAGTAGGTGAGCTCATGGGGCTCTAGCCTGGTGACGGTGCTAACGCTACCCCTAGCAAGAACAGGAGAGCTGCTTAAGCTTGTGTTTATGGAGTTTGTAAAATATAATTCAAGTAAGGTTTGTTTTTATTGACACAAAAGAAAAGACGAACGCATGTGCTTGTGTACTAGGGTCTCCAACAACTCAAGGTCAAAGCTGCTCCTCATTTTGACATGAAATCCAAATCTCAATTGCACCAGGACAGTTCTCCCTTCCAAAAATTGCATTCCAGAAAGTCGTAGACCACGGAAATAATAGAAGCGGCAGCACCGACACATAATTTCTTTTTTATTTTTAGTTTTTACTATTAAATAACGTAAGGTTCACGCAGTCATAAACGCACGGCCCTCTGAAATCGAGCTGTAAGAATATCTGAATAATTCTGCCGTGAAGCAGTAATGCGTTCCGGTTTGAAGGGTGGGGTAGTCGTTGTAACTATACTGAGACCTTAGAACTTATATCTCAAGGTGGGTGGCGCATTGACGTTATAGATGTCTATGGGCTCCATTAACTACTTAACACCAGGTGGGCTGTGAGCTCGTCCAACCATCTAAGTAAAAAAAAAAAACGCTGCGCCCTCGGCGTATCTCTAAAACTAATTTTATAATCTTATAGTCATTATAATTTTATAACCACGCTTGTTTATGTTCATATATAAATATATTTTAATATATTTGAACGGTAGAGAATGCGGTCAAGAACAAACATTGCGAGATTTTATTCATACTTTCAAAGAACATTATAATATTAAAAGGTACGTAAGGCNAATGCGTTCCGGTTTGAAGGGTGGGGTAGTCGTTGTAACTATACTGAGACCTTAGAACTTATATCTCAAGGTGGGTGGCGCATTGACGTTATAGATGTCTATGGGCTCCATTAACTACTTAACACCAGGTGGGCTGTGAGCTCGTCCAACCATCTAAGTAAAAAAAAAAAAACGCTGCGCCCTCGGCGTATCTCTAAAATTAATTTTATAATCTTATAGTCATTATAATTTTATAACCACGCTTGTTTATGTTCATATATAAATATATTTTAATATATTTGAACGGTAGAGAATGCGGTCAAGAACAAACATTGCGAGATTTTATTCATACTTTCAAAGAACATTATAATATTAAAAGGTACGTAAGGCTAATTGCCACTTCTTTATTTTTAATTTTACTATATATTTAGTTTGCTATCCGGTTTCACTCTTATTCAAATAGTTAATCATGTAATTCTAAATCTCTAGCTAAAATGTTTTTTGTTGTAATAAAAAAATATATAACTATAAAAAATCAAGAATCAATAACATTCTGACAATCAAAACTTAAAAAGGATGATTACTATCCAATACTATTTATTGGCCACGGAAGGAGATGCTTACTACTTTTATTTTAAGCGTGGATAATATTTGAATTAAAAAGGCTCTTGTTAGAGGTTTCCTTGAAACTTACATTGAACCAGGCCGTAATTAATTTCCATCTCGTTTGCTGATATAATCTAATATTTGGATCTTCTGATTTACTAAAGTCTATTGTTAACAATAAACTAGCGACGACCACTAAATGCACGTAAGATATACTATAAAAACATATTCGCACTTTCAACAAATTATTACTTTGTTTTAGTATCGGATTGGAAAATACTGTTTCCAGATTTAACATTTTGAAATTCGCGCCTTTTCGTGTGCACGGAGTACGTGCAAGAATCTCCGCCGGTACAAGTAAACTGATTTAAGAATATGGCACCTGTATGTTCAAGCGTGGTAGGTAATACGGATGGGCCATAATAATAATACTGCTTATATATGGTCAAGGTAGATGCCGTGTTGGGTGATGACTACGAACATTACGACTTTTTTTGACAGTCATTTTAATCGTCAATTGTTAAGCATCGAATCGTTGTGATCGTAGGACAATTAGCGAGGCTACTTTTCATTTAATTCTGAAAAAAAAGACTGATTTCTGAAATTCCAAAAAAAAAAATCCATGTTCGATGGCTCTAAAATGACAATTTATATAAATATATTTATCTTGGACTTCCATCTCAGTTGGGCATTCACATTGAAGCGTCTATATTTGAAGGGTGGGGCAGCCGTTGAAACTTACTTGAGACCTTAGAACTTATATCTCAAGGTGGGTGGCACATTTACGTTGTGGATGTCTATGAGCTCCAGTAACCATTTAACACCAGGTGGGCTGTGAGCTCGTCCACCCATCTAAGCAATAAATAAAAAATGTAGACGAAATAAATAAAAGACGAAAATGATATTGTTGTTTTAGAGCTACTTTTGAATGTTTAATGTGTATGCATGGGCATCGATATATAAAATTTAAATGACATTTTATGCAACCGTAATAATAAAATTGGTAACATATTGGTATTGGTGGAAACGACTCTTACCTCCCGTCTTTATCCGGTGTCAATATATTTATCAATTGTTTATTATATTATAAATATACTACAATGCTTCTAATGGTACTTATTGATATAATATTGATTTAAATAAGACTTCAATATGAGGCTCTGAAAAAACAAAGAGACAAGATTTCAAGTCTGCTACAAAAACATGAATTAAAAAACTTCATATTTCTTCATCCCTGTCGCCGCTGTTATTGACATTCTACGCTAATTTGAATTGCTTTAAAAAAGGCGCAATCGCGGAAAAAGTTAACGTTAAAGGAAGTTCGCTTTCTTTTCATATATCATATAGATCAATGTATAATAAATATTAAATTATAGTATATATTAAATTTTAGTATATATTATAAACAATTTATTAGATAAACGTGAAACACTGGCTGCTTAGAGGTTGAAATCTCAATTCTGTTGTAAAGACGAGTGATTACAATTTTTTTTTTATTTCTTATATGACTGGGCGAGCTCACGGCCCACCTGGTGTTAAGAGGTTACCGGAGCCCATAGGCGTAAATGCCGCCACCCACCTTCAGATGTGAGTTCTAAGGTCTTACTACAGTTATAACGGCTACCCCAGCCTTCAAACCGAATGCTTTACGACAGAAATAAGCAGGGTGGTGATACCTACTCGTGCGGCCCCAAAAGAGGTCCTACCACCAGTAATTACACATATTATAATTTTACGGGTTTGATTTTTAATACACGATTTTATTCCTTCACCGTGCAAGTTAATCGTGAACATTTGTTAGGCACGTGTTTCATTAAAAAAATTGGTACCCGACACATTCGCCCGCCGATTCGAACACCGATGCATCGCAAGATACGAATGCACCGAACGTCTTATCCTTCAGGCCACGACGACTTCGTGGACTATTTTATTATCGAGTAAATAATTATCAAAAATATACTGATAATTGTTGAGCAAAAGATAATCTTAGATACCTAACTAAAGTCAATGTCCGTGTAGTCCTTTGCAATCTCGATAACACGTGCTCAGCATTACTTATTACATTAATTTACGTTTCTCCTTATTAAAAATGATCGACCATTGTCCTCCACTTTGTTTTTTTTGACGTCAAATTTATGTGTAGGTCAAGCGGCTAATCATGTTGTGTATTGGCTATTCTTTCACAAATTAGTAGTTGACTCAAGTACAATGTTGTTCTAATATTTTTTGTTCATTGCAAAGCTGGAAACCTAAAATGTATTGCCATTTTTAATTGCAAAATTAAGACAGCTATGTTTACATTTAAGCCGATCGTAATTTTTTTTTCTACTTTTAGTACAATTTTATTAATTTAATATTACGAAGACGTTCGTTAATTATTCTCCTTCTGTTTGCGTAATAGAATTTTTAATATAAAAATAAAAATAAAACACACGTGAGCACTTATAGTAGTATTTTATATTATATAATTTTTATTATATAACAAATCATCTATTCAGATTTTGGTAACAGACGTCTAATTTAATACGGATTTAAAAAAAAAACACGTTTTTTTATAATATTAATTTTTTGTGTACCTGAGGTCAAAAAAAAGGAACTCCTATAATTTTTACGAGTATAAATAATTAAACTTTCGTATTGGCCTGGCTATCAATATTTAGTTGCCGTTACATGATTTTCAAGATAAAAATGGTAGTTGAATAGCAACCGGCGAAAAGCGAGTCTAATAATACATAGTATAGTAAAATAATAATGACGATGTTAGTAGAATTTTCGTATTCAATTTACATATTACATTTTTATATAAAAATATTTTTAAATTACTTACGTTTGTAATTTTTATGTACTGGACATCAGTTGGAGACGCCTATGTTCAGCAATGGACAATGGACAGGCTGAGATGATGATTATGATGATGATAATGTAGATTGTTATTTGTTTCTGTGTTTTATTATATTATATATTTATTTTTAATAATATATTTATAAGGAGTCTAAAGACACCAAATTTTATTTCGTAATTTGCCTATCTCTCTTTATTTTCCACCAATTTTTTTTTCGCCATTTGTCTGTCTCTCTTTGTTTACATTCACTCATTCGTTTTCCATCTCCAAATATGCTTCGATTTTATTTTATATGGCAGATTTATTGAACTGTTGAAGTTTAGTGATCACTAATATCCGCATCGTATTAGATTCTTCAACTTCACGAGTTACTGAATAATTTCCTAAAATTTAATGCCCTTTTTGTGTTAACGGTATTATTTTTATGCTATTAGGTCACAAGCGCTTGAATAATCCTTGCAAAATCATTTATATTCCCACAGCGTGTAATCTCAGTAGTTCTACACTAAATATTGATCACAATGGACTGCATGTCGTGGAGTGATTAATTACGTACAATGTTCTATCGAGCAACGTACAATAGAGAAGCCAAGAAAAGTACTATAGCATCAATAACATATAAAATGTCTTCTTTTCTGCTGTTGAATTAATAGGATTAAATAAGAGTGGGCAAAACAATTATATCTTGAGTATGTTTGACAGCCTGCTTCGCGTGATGTCTTGCGAATCCATTGCTGCCATTTTATTAAATTCTTAAAATTGTTTGTAATTTATAACCCGATTTTTATAATTTTAATTTATTTGCTTTCTATCTAATATTTGTATCTTCTTTAGTGTAAAATTTTCAATCAAAACCAGCACAGAACCGGAATTATTATAGGATATTTTTGAGGCCCTACTTCACCAAACGACTACCCTGTACTTTCACACCGACGTTTGATCTCCACCCGGGATTAGACCCCGGTCAGAGTAGGAGGGGTCCCGGGGTCAACATAACAATCAGACTCGCGCTGCCACCCCGAGAACACCCGACCGACGGGTCGTCCGCCTATTCCATCCCACTTGTGCCAGCGCTCTAGAACGACTGTAGCGTGCGGCGCAGCCTCGACCCCCTTAGGTCGCCTACTGACCATCTCCGGGAGAAGACTGCTTCGACAGGGGCCGGAGCTGGACGAACTCCTTCCTCCAACCCCCTGCTCGGCGGCGGTGGTACGGCGCCGAGAGGGAAGAAGAGCTCTCCCTCTCCCGTTCCGTCGCCTCCTTCTGCGCAATGCTGAACTCACAGAAGTCGAGCATCGCCTGCCAGAACTCTTCGCTGACGAGCATCGTAGCCACGGCGGTCTGAAGCGATATACAATAATAAAGTACCAGGATATTTATTGATTTTGTTGTACATTTTTGATGAAGTCAGTGACTGAAAATTGCATTTAAATAATAAAAACCCCTTATATTTTCTTTCCCGGTGCGAACTATGATGTCTCAATTGTCTCGTGGTCGTCCGGATAATGAGTCAATTTGATTCGAATAGTCACCGGTTTTGTGACAAAGTTAACCCTTCACAATTCATAAGTTCACGTTTCATAGTGAGCAACACTGAAAGCGTTATAGTAGTTTATGCTCTATAAACCATTAAGGCTTATGTTTAAATTACAATAATTTGTGACACATAAAGAAACAAGATGCGTACCCTTTTTTGTTATAGTGAACTTCTCGTTCGAATTAATTTATAATCAAACTAGATACGTTAAAACTTTAAATAATTATCATAATACCCTTAAGGCCAATGACATTTGTATTATGAAAGAAGCGATAAATATAAATTTGGTAAGGTGAAGGTAAGAGCATAATAATACCATTAAAATCTTGTCAAGGCAAGGTAACTCGGCTAAAGTAATCGAAACAGGAAGGAGATAAATATCAGAAATCAAAAACGAATTTCTTTAATGGACATCCTTAATTTGTATTTTTCACTCATACAAATTGATTGCAAGTATTAATTGGTCCGTCAAAAACCGTTCATTATTTATCTTATATTCGTATATTTCTTTTTGGGTTATGAAAAAAGCACGTCAGTTTTAATTATGTGTGCTACTGAGCACTTATTATTTCAATGCAACTTCAACTTTAGATTATTTTTAACGGTATATATGGTTACGTATAGAAACAAATTTAAACTTTTTTAATTTAAGTAAAATTGACGAAAAACAATGCATATGGTTAATAGTTCAACGGTTTTTTTAGCACGGAATTTCGCAGCACTATAATCAGGACGATGGACAGGACAGTTTTTTTTTCTCCTTATTTTGATAGCCTTGAGAGGGTATTTTAGCTTCTCCTTAACGTGTTGGTGAGCTCACGGGGCTCAAACCAGAAGTGTTGCTAACACTGGCCCTAGCAAGAGCAGAGCTCCACAGAAATTACCACCGGATCGGAAACGCGACCCACTGAGGAGATCCGGTGAGAAACTCAGCGGGCTATGTCTATG